CCGGGGATTTTGGGGGGTCCCAGATGTTCAGGGGGGCTCCAGGGACTTTTTGAGGATCCCAAAAACCCCAAATCTTGGCAAAAAACCCCCAAATTTTCCCAAAAAACCCCAAAAATTTGGGCCACCAGGTCTACCCCATTGAGCCAATGGGGTTCCAGTTCCATTTGGGGGGTCCCAGAAATTTGGGGAGGGGTCCCGGGGATTTTGGGAGGTCCCAGATGCTCGGGGAGGCTGCAGAGATTTTTTGGGGATCCCAAAACCCCAAAAAATGGCAAAAAACCCCAAATCTTCAGAAATGACCCCAAAACTTTGGGCCACCAGGTCTACCCCGAATGGAGCTGCATTGCCTTGGGGGGGTCCCAGGAATTTGGGGAGGGGTCCCGGGGATCTTGGGGGCTCCAGAGATTTTTTGGGATCCCAAAAACCCCAAAAATGGCAAAAAAACCCCCAAATTTTCCCAAAAAAACCCCAAAATTTGGGCCACCAGGTCTACCCCATGGAGCCAATGGGGCTCCAGTTCCATTTGGGGGGTCCCAGGAATTTGGGGAGGGGTCCTGGGAAATTTGGGGAGGGGTCCCGGGGATTTTGGGGGGTCCCAGGTGCTCGGGGATTGCAGAGATTTTTTTGGGATCCCTAAAATCCCCAAAAATGGAGAAAAAGACCCCAAATCTTCAGAAATGACCCCAAAATTTGGGCCACCAGGTCTACCCCGAATGGAGCTGCATTGCCTTGGGGGGTCCCAGGAATTTGGGGAGGGGTCCTGAGGATCTTGGGGGCTCCAGAGATTTTTTGGGATCCCAAAAACCCCAAAAATGGCAAAAAAACCCCCAAATTTTCCCAAAAAACCCCAAAAAATTTGGGCCACCAGGTCTACCCCGAATGGGGCTGGAGTCACTTCGGGGGGTCCCAGTAATTTGGGGAGGGGTCCCGGGGATCTTGGGGGGCTCCAGAGATTTTTTGAGGATCCCAAAACCCCCAAATCTTGACAAAAACCCCCCGAATTTCCCCCAAAACCCCCCCGCCAGGACGGCGAGGTGTACTGCATCGACGCCCGTTACTACGGCAACGTCAGCCGCTTCATCAACCACCTGTGCGACCCCAACATCATCCCGGTGCGGGTGTTCATGCTCCACCAGGACCTGCGCTTCCCCCGCATCGCCTTCTTCAGCAGCCGCCACATCCGGCCCGGGGAGGAGCTGGGGTGACAATTATTGGGGTTTATATCGGGTTTATTGGGATTTATTGGGGTTTTATATCGATTTATTGGGGTTTTATATCGATTTATTGGGGTTTTATATGGATTTATTGGGGTTTTTGGGGCTTCCCCCGCATCGCCTTCTTCAGCAGCCGCCACATCCGGCCCGGGGAGGAGCTGGGGTCAGCCTTTATCGGGCTTTTATATGGATTTATTGGGGTTTTATATGGATTTATTGGGGTTTTATATGGATTTATTGGGGTTTTATATGGATTTATTGGGGTTTTATATCGATTTATTGGGGTTTTATATGGATTTATTGGGATTTTATATCGATTTATTGGGGTTTATTGGGGTTTTATATCGATTTATCGGGGTTTTATATCGATTTATTGGGATTTATTGGGGTTTTATATGGATTTATTGGGGTTTTATATGGATTTATTGGGGTTTATTGGGATTTATGGGGGATTTTGGGGGTGGGATTTGGGATTCAGGATTTCTGATTTGTGATTTTTGATTTATAATTTTTGATTTTTGTGATTTTTGATTTTTGATTTATAATTTTTGATTTGTGATTTTTGATTTGTGGTTTGGTTTGTGATTTTTGATTTTTGATTTTTGATTTATAATTTTTGATTTTTGATTTTTGATTTATAATTTTTGATTTGTGATTTTTGATTTGTGATTTTTGATTGATTTTTGATTTTTGATTTTTGATTTTTGATTTACAATTTTTGATTTGTGATTTTTGATTCGTGATTTGTGATTTATAATTTTTGATTTTTGATTTATAATTTGTGATTTGTGGTTTGTGATTTGTGATTTTTGATTTTTAATTTGTGATTTTTGATTTACAATTTTTGATTTGTGATTTTTGATTTGTGATTTTTGATTTGTGATTTTTGATTTTTGATTTTTGATTTATAATTTTTGATTTGTGGTTTGTGATTTTTGATTTATAATTTATGATTTGTGATTTTTGATTTTTGATTTGTGATTTTTGATTTACAATTTTTGATTTGTGATTTTTGATTTGTGATTTTTGATTTGTGATTTTTGATTTACAATTTTTGATTTGTGGTTTTTGTGATTTTTGATTTGTGATTTTTGATTTTTGATTTATAATTTTTGATTTGTGGTTTGTGATTTTTGATTTGTGATTTTTGATTTGTGATTTTTGATTTGTGATTTTTGATTTACAATTTTTGATTTGTGGTTTTTGATTTGTGATTTTTGATTTGTGATTTTTGATTTTTGATTTATAATTTTTGATTTGTGGTTTGTGATTTTTGATTTATAATTTATGATTTGTGATTTTTGATTTTTGATTTGTGATTTTTGATTTACAATTTTTGATTTGTGATTTTTGATTTGTGATTTTTGATTTGTGATTTTTGATTTGTGATTTTTGATTTTTGATTTATAATTTTTGATTTGTGATTTTTGATTTGTGATTTTTGATTGATTTTTGATTTTTGATTTTTGATTTTTGATTTACAATTTTTGATTTGTGATTTTTGATT